TCCAGAATCATCGTCACCATCATTATTGTTGTTGGTTTTTTATATAGACAGAAAACTATTTCCAGCAGTTATTCACATACTCCCTTTTGTATTTGTTAGGTTAAGTTCAGCCTGATAACAGAAAGATATCCTGGGTATGTTGAACTCGCTTTGTAGTGCAGGACCCAGCAAATAGGAAAGATAGAGAAATGATTTTTAAGTAGACTTTCTATGCACTTGATGTGAGCTTCCAGCTGGATGATGACGAGGAAGTAGAGTTTTCTTTTCTTTGAGAGGTCATCATCAATGTCCCCATATACATCATAACGTCTCCATATACATCGTAAATATACATCAACGTCTCCATGTATATCGTAAAAATATGTTTGCATCATTGTTTGTTCAAAACAAAACATTCTCACATCCAAGATCATTGAGTGAAACTAAAGTAATCCGTGACTGGTTGAACATTCATTGAGCTTTCTATCAAAATGAACCAAAGTGAAAACTGATGAAGTACGTGCACTGACAAGATGAGACAAACGTGTGATGTTAGGACGATGGCAGAATACTGCCTCTCTTTGGTGGGAATAAGGGGGGGGGGGCCCTCAGCAGGGGTCCCTGTGTGGTGTCCCGGGGTTCCACAGCCCATCCCCCGGTTTGGTGGGCTCGGTTCCAGTTAGGAGATTTATGGGGACACAGTAATGCACAGGGTTTACAGGACACAGGTGTGTCCAGGGGCTGGGTCAGGTTCCTGCTCTGATTGGACCGCTGGCCTCAGACTCAGGCTTTTAGACAAAGACACAAGATTGACTCTTAAATAAATGAAATGAAGCTGACACAAGAATCTGAAGAAGGGCGATACATGGTTCAGGCCAGTAGAGGGCAGGGTATGCCAAGTTTTGATCACTGTAATAATTACAGGAAGAAAGTGAAAAGGTTCTGAACATGAACAATAATGAAGATGATTGATGGGAGTGAAACACACATTGGCCCCAACTTCAAGTAAACTTTTAAACTCTTATGATTGTTTTCATTTCAGGATTAACCTGAAATTGACTCTGTGTGTGTTCATGGATTCCACAACTCAAAATGTTTCCTGAAGACCGAGGCTGGAAGGAGCCAAGAAGAATATTTCATGAGAATAAATCAGGTTTACAGAAAGTCAAACAAAGACCAAAGTATTGGAAACAGGAGGAGCCACATAGGAGGCATGAGGTCAGGTGAGATAAACCGGATAGCTGGACACTTGAGTGAGTCACGTAGACATGAAGTAACACAACCAGACACAAGGTAAGAAGGTCAAATTAAAAAACACACAATTATATTTTGAATAAGTCCAAAAGTCCATTCATGGTGCAGATCAGATGTATCTTTGTGTGTGTTTTACATCTTTGTGACATTTTCACCGGCCCTCACTTTGTCAAAGGGCTGTTTGAGGGTTCAGACTTGTTTTTAAGGTTACGGTTAGAATCCGGCTCAGGTTAAAGTTAGAGTGAGGGGCTCAGGAAGCATTATGTCAATGAGGGTCCTCACTAAGATATAAGTACAAGATTGTGTGTGTGTGTTTGTGAGAGAGAGCGAGAGCGAGAGAGGCTGCTTAAGTATTTCTATTATCATTGTTATCAGTATTATAATTGGCACTAGTATTATTGTTATTACTGCTGTCAGTAATGCTGTGGTAATTAAACCATTACACCTTGTTTCTGCCATAATCATTTTCATTACATGAACCAGGAACTTGGACAACGCCCTCTGGATCCAAACTGAGTCTGACAGTCGTAGATATAATATGTCGGTCTAATCGCCTTACTGCCCAGTCGATGGACGAGGCCGGGGTAGATAACCTGACACTGTCTAACCTAAACCCAGTTCTAACCCTAAAATCAGGTCTTAACCCTGAAACAGGCCACTGAAAAAGGAAGCACCACCAGAGATGTCTTCACTCTCTGCTCTCCGCCTCTGGAACTCCCTCCCCCCAGACATCTGTAAAATTGACTCTCTCCATTTTCAAATCCTGTCTTTTTTTCCATTGAGCCAAACGACATCATGTTTTATTCACTGTTGATTTATTGATCTTTTTAATACATGGTTTTTTGTTGTGTTTTTTATCGCTGCCTGGTAAGGTGACCTTGAGTGCTGGGAAAGGCGCCTATAAATAAACTGTTATTATTATTTCTATTATTTCACAAAATGTCCCCACTCCATAAGGTCTATATGCTGAAAATGGTCCCCAGATCCAAAGATTTATGAAGATTTGTCAAAAAATTATAGCATAAACTTGGTAGGTCTATACTACCTAAGATTTAAGAAGAGTTATAGCCAAAATTCCTACTTTGCGAGGGTTGGTTGGTTATTGGCGGCCATGTTTTCCAAATTGTTTATTGTAGAAATGTGCAACTCATCCCCTGAGGCAGCATACCAAGTTCGTGCTGGTGCACGGAAACATCTTTAAAGGGTTTGAAGTGTCAGACGATGAATGGATTCAAAAGATTTCAAAAAACTGAAGACGCCTGAACTGCGAAGCAAGTTCAATAGGACAGGATTGTTATCTGGGTTCACCAAACATTACTTAGTACTTCCTGGATAACCTGTGAGACAAAGCTGGCTCAGCTAATTATGTAATTAAGAGCAGCATCTTCACAAACATGAATAAAGAAGAAATGCTGTCCAGCCAGTTTAAGTGACATTCAATAAAAGGATTGATTAATGTGCACTCTCATGCATAAAAGTGTCGTGATTCAGGATTCTCAATCACAATGAGTAATCAATTCCTAACATGACTATTATAACTAGCTAAAAGATATTTAGTCTGCCTGCAGGTTTCAGCTTTTCTTTTTGTAACATATTAAGAACTTAATTAATTAATGGTTCTGAAAATGCTGGATAGGAATCCAAGGTTAACTTGATTAACTTGACTAGATTATCCAGGACGACCAATGTTAGGTTCATTGAAGCCGGATGATGAAAATATATCCTGGGTATGTTGAACTTGCTTCATCGTACAGGCCAAAAAAACAACAAGCAGAAATGATTTCACCCTTGAGTCACACTTGTCATCATTTCCCCAATTTCACTGATGATCTGTTGTGCTTTGCTTATTGATGCGATTCCACTCGGCGGAGAGCTGGAGGGGGGTGCTGTTCAGGTTTTGAGAATCGGTCACATTGGCAACAATGCACCCAGCTGCTGATTGAAAGCAGAAGGCTCTAATGTCACTGGATGTCAAATATCACTGTCTGAAAAAAGCTTCAGGATAGACCAACCTTAATTCAGACCTCAAAACCCAACATCAGGGCTGGATCTCATAAATGAAGCTCAGTAAAGGTTGGATAGAGCAAAATCAACGCATCCACACCAGCGTCGGCCCTCATCACCAAAAGCTCTATAATCTTTGCAAGTTGACATCTTCATCAAGGTCTTTTTACGTATATCGCTCCTCTTTTTAATCCTGAGATATTCAGTTTTGCGTCCATTGCGTGGACATTATCCAGAAATTTTACTTGGGGGCTGCCAGGAGAAACTGTGGAGAATAACTAACTCATACTTACTGAAGCACACAAAGGCTTAAAGACCTGTGACGGTAAATTGACGGTTATGCAAGGAACACGTTTACAACTGTGAAAAAAACACATGAAAGAATAGATGTGAGTTCAAGAGTGCAGGTAACAAAGATCTGATATTTTCTGTACCGGTGGGTTTTGAACACATCAGAGCTTTGAGACATTTGTCTTAGTCTCAGGAGATTATCTGGAGTTCTTAAAGCAGCTCCAGAGATTAACGTCCATGGTTGTGGAATGACATGTTCAACACGCATCATGCAGTGTAATGTTCAGTTCCCCCAACTGATCTTTACTGGTCCAAAATTTTACATCTGATCAAACTTGAAACCCACGTTCATAAGTGCAGCCATCCTCTTCGATCCTCCCCCCATGACTGGGAGGAGCCATGTGACAGTGTTGTGCTACATATGGCTTTGCTGTAGATATTTTACACATTTAGACAAAGATGCAGTTTTTCTCATTTGGTTCGTTTCTGTTGCAATGTTCTAAAACCTTTCACCGAGAAATGGGGCCACACAGCGCAGCAAAAACAATCCTCTTCCTGCTCAAGATATGTTGAAATGGAAGGAATGCTACTATTTGATTCTTAATGAATCTCGTTGAAAGGTTATAAATAATATGAAATATTAATATTAGAATATGAGGGAAACCCCCCCGACAGTAAACTGGTGCGATGTTAACAAATATGTTTATGAATAGTGAAAAAACCCATGTGATGCTGTCAAGACTAAGACAAATGTCTCGAAGCTCTGATGTGTTCAAAACCCACCGGAACAGAAAATATCAGATCTTTGTTACCTGCACTCTTGAACTCACATCTGTTCTTTCTTGTGTTTTTTTCACAGTTGTAAACGTGTTCCTTGCATAACCGTCAATTTACCGTCACAGGTCTTTCAGCCTTTGTGTGCTTCAGTAAGTATGAGTGACACCATGTTCCACTGTCGACATCTATTCATCATGCGCTCAAGTATCTGACGTGAAAAATGTTGACTATCAAATCGTAATATATTTACACAAATGAATTAATTATTGTCAATGTAGAAACGTGTCAACAGCCTGTGTTTCAGGTAACGGTGAACATTTTTATTGAAGAGCTCAATTCAGTGATTTGATTGATTTTGCTGAAAGCCAGTTATTTCCACAAAAGGCAATGTTTTTTCTTTGGTATATTTGGAACTGAGGCGTAATTTGATCCCGGAGACGCCCTCATTGTGTGAGTTCATACAAACACAACTATAACTTAAATTTGAGTCGACATAATAATTACAAACCATGAAGCTGCTTTCAGACATGCACTGAACGCTGGATTTCTTTTCCTTTTCGGTTCTAACACGCGACAGATGCAAAAAAAACAAAAAACTAAACGAATACAAATATCTCAGGATGAATAAGAGGAGCTGTACATGTAGAAGACGCAGTAAAATGAAACACGTGATCTCCTTTTGCAGATTTCTGTGTTGTTGTGAACATGCCTGAGCAGAAAAGCTCCTGCTGCATTCTTAGCATGTGAAGGACAAACTCCAGAGAAAGTCCAGAAGCAGTTGTGCAAACGTTGTCTAGTGTTCAAGTCATTAACATCCGTCCAGTTACAGTGTTTAGTTGTTTTCTAGTCTTAATGTTTACTCTTTCACTACAAGTCACATTTACGCATTAACATTAAAACACATTCATACAGCCCCTCTGTATGCAGCTTGACATGTGAACTTGAGGAGCCGGCGATAGAAACCACCGACCCTGGTGGACGACCCGCTCTACCTACAGAGCCAAAGTCGCTCAATGCGTGTGCATCTGAAAGAATGGACCTGTAATTAGAATTCATTACATTTGATCGACTGAAAAGAGGCATAGAATTGTTCCCAATCAGAATTTCTGATGAGGTCAGAAAGCCTCAGCAAATTACAAACAGACAAAGCTCTTGAATATAGAAACATAAACACAGATAAAAGTGTCCTCTGTCACACAATGAGGATATTTTGTGCCATGAACCTCCCGGCACGAACCACTGACCTTCATCACAGATTCTAATGTCAACTGGGGCCAGCAGTTTCAGGAGAGAACTGAAAGAAACTGATTTTTCTAACTCAATTTCCAACATTAGTGACGCCACAAACAAGGATTTCACATCAACGTGTTAAACAGTCCAATCTGTCTGTGGGAAGGATTCAGGTGAAATGATAAATATCATGAGAAATAGAGTTTGAGATGAACCTGTTTGAAGAATAAGAATAAATACATACGAGTTACGATAGCATAAGTAGTAGTGTGAGAAACCTACACCTTAGAACAGCTGAGCAACCCAGCATCGATATGTCAAACATGTCAACACAACATGCAGCCGCGCGACATTCCCATGACTCAGAGAACATAATGTTCTTTGTGTTGTGAAGTCGAGCGAGAGCGTCGAGAAAGAAAATGTATTTGAAACACATGGAATTTTTTTTTTAAAGAGCTTCCCATTAGTGGCATGAGTTGTGAGTCTTGCAGAAACAATGGCCACTGTACAAATTTTAGTTTTTCCTGGTGAACAGGTTTGGAAATTTTTGTTGAAGCTGAGTGTTGCTGACTTTAGACCCTGGTGGTTTTACCGCCACGTTGTTTAAGGTCGAACGTGGCGGCACAAGCAGTCATCATTGTGATTCATTTTCTCTCAAATCTCTTCTCTCTGCTTTCTAAAATCTTTACAGCGTTCAGTTGTGATCTCTCTGTATATTGTTAATGTGTGCATTGAATTCATGTCGTTTTACGAGAGGTTTATGAAAATAAGACGTGTTTCCTCGTTTTTTTTCTCAACTGCACTAGTGTCAAGGTGAACAATAAGTCATTTTCAGGTTGTCAGTGGAAAACCACTCATCAGTTCTCACACATTCTTTGTTCCAAAGACAACACACTTGACAAGCGATGGCTGATGAGTGATGGGCAGCACATTCTTGTCTTAAACTGGTTGAGTCCAAGAAACGAATGTTAAAATTTCTAGAAGCAAGACGCGTCTAAATGAAAGTCCCGGCTACCGCAGTTCATTTTAACACGTGTTTTCTCAACAAGCCTGAGAGGAAATATTTGACTTTGCAATCCAACTCAATCATGTCGCAGCTAAATGCAAATGAAAGACATTTGATGCATGTTTTACACTGGCCCACATTAATGAAGTACATTATATATTATACTATATAACTGCATATAATTATATATTTTTTTATGTTTGTGTGGTAATTAAATTTTACTTGAGAATCTGAAAACATCCTCCACCACCGGATATTTTCACAATTTTCTACATGAGTAGCTTCTTATAGTCCTAATGATGAAACCTCAGCCACACCCTGTGGGAGCAGCCTATAAAGAGCGAGGAGCCGAGCAGCTGCCTTCACACTGAACCAGGCTCCTGAACAACAGGTGAGCTCCTCTGGTCTTTTTATTCTCACATGAATTATATGCACCTGATTTATTCCTCAAACACTGATTATTTCTGTTTATTTTCAGATTTCAACTTGAACCTGAGAGGAGCATCATCATGACTCCTGTTTTCCTCCTCCTCCTCTTCTTCCCCATGACGGCCATCGCTGCAGTGAGTTTCCACACTGGGATCATGATGTTAAACTGTCCTGTGAAAACCTTTGTTATGAGCGTGGTGACGACAGATTTTAAAAATAATCGAGTTGTTTTGTTTTAGGATTTCATGAGCAGTTAAGTTTGAAGAAAATTTTTGCAATCTGATGTGTAACGTTGTGACTTTGTGTTGCAGGATGCAGCTGATGAAGCAAATCAATTAGGTGAGTTTATTAGTGGAGAATTCTCCAGATATTCACGTTGAAAATGTTGATGCACATGTTATTCTGCTGCCACTTGTTTCTGATATTTTCTGTTTACCTGCAGACGAATCTCCAGGAGTCTCTGATGTCCTTCAAAGAGTCAATGACGGCTTACGTAAGAAATAATTTCACGTGATCCAACTTTTCTGGCCGAAAATAGAAAAACATGATGACTGAAATAAAGTGAATACAGTGAAAAAAGTTTGATGGCTCTTTAGTTTTTGTATGAAAATGGAAAATATGTAAAACTCGAATGTTAAGTTTCTGTATTGTCGTTCTGCAGCAAATCTGGTCCATGGCGACATTGTGCTAAATTCCAAGAAGAACGCAGACCCCTGCACAGCTACTGGCTGCAAGTGGCCCAAACGTGGAAGCTATGTCAGAGTGCCAGTGGTCATCTCCTCCAAATACAGTGAGTTTGATCCACAGATACCAGTCTGGTCAACATGGACTTGGTTTTCAGTAAAGACTACAAAAGTTCCACAGTCGTCAAATAGAGATTTTCATTCAAAAAGCAAAATCATTCAGTAGAAAAAAAGTATTGTCTAAGTACATCTATATTTAAAAAAAATCTTCTTCTTCTCAAATTATTTCATATCCAGTTTTTAAAATCGTAATATATTGAATGCATTTGTTTTTCTCTTCCACTAATGATCTCACATGACCTCAGATGTATCTGCTGATCCTCTGATGAGGTATTTAAATGTTGGGGTATTTTCACACTATTGTACTTGTACTAGAGTGTACTTATTATTTGATAGGTTACATGTCATTTTAGAGGAGCAATATCACAAGATCAGCTTAATACTAATACTGACCATATTTTCATAATATTAAAATCACAGCTTCATACTCATAACATTCATCTTCTTATATTTACTTTTTTTCCCATGAAATCATGACATCATCACCAAGTTCTGTGTTCAGAGATATTTTCAATTGAATAACGATGATCTGAAAACTGTGAATGTAAGTTATGTACTTTGAAGGATGGTCCTCAGTCTGTTTAGGGAGAACACGTCTCAGCAGTTTGCACTTTGTCTCCGTAGCCAGGACAGAGCGCAACCTCATCATCAGAAGCCTGGTGACCTTCCACAGGTCCACATGCATTCGCTTTGTGTGGAGACGCTGGTACCACAGGAACTACCTCTACTTCTTCTCCGGAACTGGGTAGGAACAAACACACGACTACTTCTTCAACATTAAATCCAAACTCACATATCTCGAGAATTATTCATCTTATCGGCTTGACACTTGTCGTGTGCCTTGTTAATGGCCCAAGGAAGTGCAATTTGGACATGTGATACTTTCAATAGCCACAAACTTTGGATTAACAGGCGACCAGCGCTTTGTAGCATCAACAGCGTGGTCACAGCAACTCAAACCAACTGATTCTCCAGTTCTGGTTCTGCTTACTGAGTTGAGCTTCCGAGAACGCTGAATAAACAAGGATAAATAAATAAAAAAGAGATCATCAAGACCCAGTCAAAGCAGGCAACTCTTACAGTTCCAGAGAAAAGAAGGTGCCTCCAGTGTCGCCACAGGCCGAAGCTCATTCCGAACAGGCAGGTTTAGAACAGACACTGCACTCGTACTGTAAAAGCCTCAACTTTGAATCTGCTCTGGCAAAGATAGAAACTGGACGTTGTCCTCGTGATAAATGTATGAAATTAGACAACACCTGTATGTGTCCTTCTAAAAGACAAATGGATAATTGTGTCATGTGCTCATAAAACCTCTACGATGTTTTTCTTATCTATAACTTTTCTATATTTATTTCACAATATTTTCACTGTGTGTGTGTTTCAGGTGCTGGTCGTATGTTGGCCGTCAGAGTAGAGGACAGGCGGTCTCCCTGAGGAAAAACGGATGTTTGTCCACAGGCACGGTGCAACATGAGGTCATCCACGCTCTGGGTTTCCACCACGAGCAAGTCCGCTCCGACAGGGACACATACGTTCGAATTCTCACCGAAAACATTAGTTCAGGTGAGCTCATCCACAAAAACCTTTGTTTCACAAACTGTCTGTTTGTGCCATAGACTGTAAACGAAGGTGGACGACACGTCTCCACTTCCTCCTGTGGCACAAAAGTTTACAAAATATCCAGAATAAGATCCCTGTAGATCATAATGTTGCCAGACGTACATAAATAGTATCTGCACGATCATTTCGCCCTCTGCACTAAAACCGATAATGTACTTTAATCTCATAATTTAGAAGTTCTAATATTCAGTATAGTAAAATGTGGATTCTACGTCTGGGTGTACACGTGTGATGTCGTATGTGCATATGGACCAAAGCGTCTCTTCTCACCTAACGTCTTTCCAGAGGCGGAGTTTGAACTTTCCAACCAATACGAACCCAGTTTATTTAAGTTTTTGTAACTAGTTTTATTTAAGGAGTTTTTTCACATGGTAAGATTTGTGGGCGGAGACAAGGATTTGTTCGTCTTAACGTGGATGTCTTGATTTTATTGTTCAAATCTTTATTTTCTTGGCTACGACTGATGTACGATAATTTCCCCTGAAATATAATCGTTTTAAGCCGCTGCTACAATACTTCAACATTTCATGACTGGCAATGCTGGAGGATCAACAGCCTCATCAGGGTTCATCCTCTGGGGATCGTGAATGTCTGCACCAAATAATCAATTCAGTACTTTTCGAGATACTGTCTTTCAGAGTGGTTACATATTGAAGAAAATGTTAAAAGCTGAGTTACATTTTTTTAATTTTCTCTCCATCTGCAGGAAAGGAAACAAACTTTAGAAAAGTGAAGACTAACAATTTGGGGACTCCCTACGACTTCAACTCTGTCATGCATTACAGCAAGTAAGTCTTTGGTTTATTCATCATCTTCACTGAAGTTAATTGAGACTTTTTTTAAACAGATTTTGTGTTTTTTGTTTTGTTTATTTGCTTGTTTCTTGAATCTGATCAAAATATGTTCATGCATACAAAACCAGTTTTTTAGCAAAATTATTACGACTGATGCAGTGAATGTGTTTTTCTAATGTCAGTGAATAACAATGGAGCTAATGAACTCAGACAAAACCAATAATGTTGTGTTCGTGTCCTCTTCAAAGATACGCCTTCAGCAAAAATGGAAAGCCAACCATCCTCGCCAGGAGCAACCCCAACCTCGAATTTGGACGCGCCACTTCCATGAGCTCGAATGACATTGCCCGCATCAACAAGCTTTACCAATGCTGAGTCTGAACAAGAAACTTTAACCCGTCACACTGCCACCGTAAGTAAGGACACAACAAATACTTCCCACTACTCTTTGGGTTTTAGAGTGACAGCAGAACAAAGTAGAAACTGAGTTGAAATATCAAATCTTTTTTTGTCCCCCATCCAGAAACGTGATGAAGGAACGTGTCGACCTCCAGAAACATCATGATTTCTGATGCAGCGCAACAATAATATTCAAAGGGTTCAACAGCATATGTTGTTGTTAGCTTGTTAGCTTCTGTTAGCGCTTGGTTTTGATGTATTTCACTGCAAACTCAAAAAAAACCAAAAAAACCATTAATTTTCTTACTATGATTGGGTGATGGATTTGCTCAGAAGTACCAGGCAGTGAAACAACCCTGAAACAACAAATTGAGGGGCTGAATATTTGCTGTATTGTTTGATTCATGAATTGTGAAAGCTGTTTTGAAATATTCAGTAAACAGCTGATTCGATGCTCATTGTGTGCAGCATCAGCAGGGAGACAAACAATTCTCACTTCTACTGACAGTAATAATCAATAACATTATTGGATCTGGGTCAAACATTTTTGTTTTTGTGGGTTTTCCTCTGTTAGAATACTAGAGCATTTACCAATTATGATCAATAATCAATGACTGTGTGTTCATTTGGATAATTTCCTTATTAAAATCACAAGAATCAATGTATGCGTGTCTTTATTTCCACCAGAAGGAGGCAGTATTCTGTCACTTTCCTAACATCATGGGTTCGTCTCCTCATCTTGTCAGAGAACAGCAAACTTCAGTTTTCAGTTTGTTTAAAGCTCCATGAATGTTCACAGCCACAAAGAACTAACGAGTTTCAGGAGATGATGTTGGAGCAGTGAGAACTTTTAGTTTAGCACAAAGAAAAAATTACAGTAACGTAATTTTAGGTACAAATTCGGTTATTTAGGAAAAGTTTTCAGTGCGATGAGTCTTTATCTTTGGATACAATGCATGAAAATATTATGTGTTATTTTAGACATGTATAATTACGATGTATATGGGGACATTCATGTATAATTACGATGTATATGGGGACATTTCAGCAGTGGTTGAAGAAGGACTCTGATCTTTTACTTAAAAGTACAGTATTACAACAAAACTTGACACCATTACAAGTATTTGTTTAAAATCCTACTAAGTAAAAATACTGCCGCATTATCAGTATTTACTTGCAGTTTCAGAAGCTGCAACCAGCAAAGACAGAGCTAAGCCAAACTGGTTTAGAACAGACACTGCACTAGTAAAAGTACAAATATGCAAATACAAATACCACTAGTGCTGACTGTGAGTGTGAGTGTGTGGGAGTGTGTGTGTGTAAGGACCATTTTGAGCATAGATTTACAGAGTGAGGACATTTTGGCCGGTCCTCACTTTAGGCAGGTTTCAGGGTTTAAACTTGGTTTTAAAGTTAGGTTTACAAAAGATTTAGGTTTAAGTTGGGGTTAGGAATTTTGTTGTGATGGTTGAGGTTAGGAGAAGGGGCTGGCAAATGCATTTTGCCTATGAAAGTACTCACAAAGATAGAAGTACAAGAGTGTGTTTGTGTGTTCACCCATTCACACACATTCATACAGTGCATCTTTGTGCAGCACTCTTTCTGAGAGAAGGGGCTTTAAGGGTTAATGTCTTGCCAAAGGACACTCCAGCATGGGGACTAAAGAAATATATATAAATATATATGTACCGATAAGCTGAGGATAATGATGCAATACTGCCTCCCTGTGGTAGGAATAAAAACTATAAACTTTTTTCTTTTTCATTTTATTGACGATAAGAGTTGCTTCACTTCAGTGCAGAAATAAATGCAAAACCATTAATTATGAACCATAAACATCCAGTAATGAAAAGTGTGAAACATCCCAAAATGTTCAAAACCATAAAATACAAAGATATTTCACCCAGATTGTCTTAATAATGTTAATTATTACTCTTACTCCAATGAGCATTTAATTAAGTATCTACTGAATATTTAAAAACTGAATAATTGACCTCAAATCAGAAATAGATAAGAAAACCCTGTCAAGACGTTTCTGGTATTACAGTAAGATGGACCTCGTCAGAAAGCGATGTGATACCGTTACTTTCCTGCAGGTGGCCCTGCAGCGTAGTTTCATGATAAGTCTATTTCTCTCCAATGTTATGATGTTCTGAAACCACATCAATACAAACAAAACATTTTGTCATTTAGTTTGCTGTAGGTTTTTTTTTTTACAGAAGCTGGTAGTGTGGAGGAGTCAGATCTCACGGGTACGCAGCCCATTTTCTGTTGCATCAGAAATCCTGATGTTCCACAGGTGAAGCTTTGAGGTCGACCGGTTCCTTCTGTCGTCAAACTGGTCGGGGGAGAAGAAAAAGGGTTTTTAATTTCAACTCAATCTGTTCTCAGGTTTTTTTCCTCTGTTTTTTTCCAGATACAAATAAAATGTTAGCGGCGTGATTTTATCGTTTTACACAATGACGTGCGTGTTTCTCACTCACTGCATTGGTAAAGCCTGTTGATGCGGAGGATGTCATTCGGACTCATGGATGGGGCGTATCCAAAGACATGGCTGGGATTGTTTATGTCTTCGATGGTGGGCTGTCCATTCTTGGAGAAGGCGGTACTTGAAGAGGACACAGACACAACATCATTGGTTTATTGATATGTCCACACACTAACACACACAGTGTTGCTCCATGGATGCAAAAGGAACGCCGTTCATTGAACGAGCAGTTTTAGATCATGCAGTTGAGAATGATCAGTTGAAGAATAAGTGAAGTTAGTGAGCTTTTAGTCGCGACATCAGTAAACGGAGAGAACAACAACAGTTTTGACGATTTTGCTCCAAAGCTGGTCTTGTATGCATTTGTATTAACAGGCACATAAACAAAATCTGTTTAAAAACATGTGTCTAACTCAAGTAACTGCAGTGAAGATGATAGATGCTTCAAACATTCACGATGCGTGCACTCGCACAAAGACTTACTTGGAGTATTGCATGACAGAGTCGAAGTCGTAGGGAGTCCCCAAATTATTAGTCGGCACTTCATTAAAGTTTCTCTCCTTTCCTGCACAGATGGAGAGAACATTTAAAACATGAATTATCAGCTCTTGTCATTGCTACCGTGTTTAAGTCTAATTCAAACAAAGCATGGTCGATAGGCCCACCACTAAAACCAGAGCTGTGCAATAAAGGTATTTGTGGGTCAGCTGACCTTCTTGTATGTTCTCCCAATTGATAATAACGTGCTGGTTCCTGTCGGAGCGCATGTGCTCATGGTGGAAACCGAGAGCATGGAGTATCTCGTGCTGCACGATCGATGTGTACAAACAACCGTCTTTGTTCAGGGAGAGTAACTGTTCATTGCCCTGACGGCCCACGTATGACCAGCACCTGAGACAAACACACACACACACACATACACGGGGAAGTTATTTTAAAAACGTAATGTTGACGCTCTCCTGGGCTGTTTCTCACTCACTAACCTCTACTTCAGAATATGAGATGTTTATTTCACACCTGCACAGAATTAATAATTTAGGGTAAAAACATGTAGAATGACAAATGATGAAATGCAGAAATAAACTTGTTTGATTCAGATAGTGATGCTCTGCTCTTGTTTACATTTGTACGCTCTCTCCGCTGCGAGCCCAGTGCATGATGGTAGATAACGCTCGGTTACTGGCCATGGGTTGCTATTTTTCACAGTGCATTGTGGGAAACAATGAGAGCACTATATAGGGTCTTTGGTCTCAGCTGCAGCAGAGCGACAGGATTCAAAAACTAAATGTTTACTCCAGTGTCACTTTGCAGACTCCAACAGGACAACATTCATTATTGTTATTGCCCACTAGAGGGTGCATGTGTTCTTACCCGGCTCCAGAGAAGATGTTGAGGTGGTTTGTATTCTTCTTCCTGTGCCTCTTAAATTGAATGCATGTGTTATCTTGGATGTATGACAGAACACCCATGATGCCTTCCTTCTGTGCTTGGTCTGTAGAGACAGAGGCTGCTGAGACGTGTTCTCCCCAAACAGGCCACACCCTCCTTCAAACACTTACAATTACAGTTTTCCTCAAATCTTTCTCCATATTACTCTGATTATCTCAGGCGTGTATCTTTGTGTAGTACTAGTATTACTTTGGACTATTTTCATTTGATCTTAGTTTCAACCTTTTTACAGATATATATACTTTATCTTTAACATCTATATGATATCATTTATATAAAGATAAAGGTGAACTTGGCAGCCAGGACCAGTCTATTGAAATCCAGTGAGATAAAAAAGCTTACGTCTTACGTCGCATAAATTCAGCTACATACATTTTATTTTTTCCTTTAAGGAATCGCAAGGTAGAAAAGGAGGAGAACAACTGATTTAGAAATAAAAAAATGTTCTTATTTTTCATTTGAAACCAAACAAAGCTGACCTTCTACTCACTGAAAGCAGAATCGAGTTTGTAGTATACAGACACAACATTTTTTCTCTTGGGCCACAAGCAGCCTGCGGATGTGCAGGGGTCTGCGTTACTCTGCACGTCCGTCACTATGGCAATGTCCCCGCTCGTCAGGTTCGCTGCAGAACAGCAATACAGACACTTGTATTATGTGTTTATATATATATGAACAGGATTTTTATAAAACAGTTTTTACTTTTTATTTTTCCAGAGAATTTAGTGACAGTCTCAGTTGACTTGTTTTGTCTGACGTAATATTTTATGGATCGTATGAATTTCTTTCTCACTTAGGCCTGCATTGGCTTTTTCAATGACATCGGAGACGCCTTTAGATTCAGCTGCAGGTAAACACAGGAAACAGAAAATATCAGAAACAAGCAGCAGCAGTTTCACATGTGAATTATCAACAGTTTCCACATTAATATCTGAAGAATTCTCCATTTATCAACTCACCCAACACTTGTCCTTTTAAAGCTGCAGCCTGCGACACAAAGTCACAACATTACTCACCAATAAATCATCTTTTCTACTGTTTGAGATGGAAAATCTGATATTTGACATTGTAAAAATTACAGGCTCATAAAATCCCCAAATATTATTTTTGAAATGTCGTCACCACGCTCCTAACAAAGACGATTTTCATTTAAGCCGATAATGTGAAGATGCCTGGTTTTCACAGGACAGTTTTAACATCATGATCCCAGTGTGGAAACTCACTGCAGCCATGGCCGACATGGAGAAGAAGAGGAGGAGCAGGAAAACAGGAGTCATGATGCTGCTCCTCTCAGGTTCAAGTTCAAATCTGAAAATGCAAAGAAGTCTAATCAGTGTTTGAGGAATAAATCAGGTGAGAATGTAAAGACCAGAGGAGTTTACCTGTTGTTCCAGGAGTCTGTTCAGTGCAGCTGCTCGGCTCCTTGCTCTTTATAGGCCGCTCTCACAGGGTGTGGCTGCGGTTCCATCTGCAGGTGTCAAAAGAAAAACCAAGTCAGTCGACCACTAATGATTCTTCAGGAAGAAAATTCAGTCAGAGTCAGAACATTCAGTCCTGGACGATGGAACAGTCACACACAAACTTAATGAACCACAAACACGTCGACTGCTGAACTTCACTTGTTTGAGTCCGGACCTGACAAACTTTACCTGCAGATATTCAGTCACAGAACCATCAACTGTGAATATAAATATCAGAATAATATCAGAGTGATCATTTTCAGTCTGGTTTACACTTAATATCCACTGCTCATTAACTTAATAAGAAAAGAGCACACTGGCTGTTTGCAGCTTTAATTAACACCATCAAGGAGACAGAGATTTAAACGCTTTTTTTTTGTCGTTAGGCAAAAACTACTTTATCGATTTTAATGAAACAATGTGGGAGGGAAGGACCCGTCCGCGCAGTTGGGTCTGGACTTTCTCCAGAGTGAAACACGCAGCAGGAGATTCTCCACTGAGGCACATTCACAACGACACAGAAATCTGTGTGGAAGCAGCAGGCTGCGGCCGGAGGTAACGTCTTAAATCTTATTTTGCAAAAATGAACACTCATTGATAAAAGCAGTTTTTTTTTTATTGCTGAAATTGGAGAATAACTGTTCACACTAATATAAGTGCAACAAATTAATTCAATAACTAAAACCAAACACAACTACATGACTTAAGAAATAAAATACTTTATCATTTATAAACTAGTATTCATCTGTTTTGTATTTGTAGCGACACCAAAACTTCCAGATGAATGCGTCTTCCTGCAAAATAAAATATTTCAAGTTGAACTATCGTCACGTGAAAGAAACTAAATCTGAACAACAGTGAACCTCCAGGTCTGCTGGGAGAACTGTGCCCAAAGACAACAACCATCATTAAACTGTAAGCTTCGTTCAGTGTCTCACGAAGGACTGTGACCCATGATTATGTTTGTTTCCTCTTTCACAGACCAAGCTGACCCTGAATAAACTACTTCATTGCTTCAGAACACTCGTCTGTGAGGGTTCATGTGTTCGCCAATGTTCCCGGAGAAACATCTAGGCTGATGTTGGCATGCGGATTAACTTCAAATTGCCATAATTAAAATTCTGTCTCGACTTTCATGACATGACCTCAAAGAACAAAATGTTCTGTCCTGGGAATGTAGCGTGGCAGACATTTAGGCTTTGGTATAAGTTACACACACAGACACCATTAACCCTGTCTCGAGGAATCCATCTTTGTTCTGTAGAGTTATATTTTATACTTATTTGTTTAAATATCTAACTTTTGCATTTTGATGTGAGCTCTTGTAGAGATGCCCATGTTGTGTGGTGCAAATTATAAAGAAAAGTGAAAAACGTTTGGCTCGGTAGAGTCATTAACTTCTTTTTGATGTGCACTGAACTGTGGGTAATCGCCCGAGAGTCTCTGAAGGGTTTAGGTCTAAATCAGAGGCTCTGGAGTTTTCTGCCTGTGTCAGAACGAGCCCATGTGAGTGAGCCAACACGTAGAAGACGAAGACGTCCACTTGGAAAGACGAGGAGATTCCGGAGGAGCTGCGGTGTACCCTGACATGCGCCTACCCTGGAATGTAAATACACAGAGCTGTGATTGGTCCGCTTGGTGGCGTTGCATCTCCGGCAGACTCGTCCCCATTTTTGAATTGAGTTGAAGGAACAAACACAGATGATGTATTTCTTTTCTTCGTTGCTCTTCAGCATCTGTCAGCTTCACCTGGAAAACGACCCGCTCAGTAACACTCGACATCTTTCTGAAGTAAACAGACAAACTTGAAAATAAATGGACCAGAAACCAGAAGACACTGAACACCAGCACAGAAACTCCACCACCGGAAGTGTTTCTATGCTGATGTTGAGGCGGATGGAACTGCGTTGTGAAAATACAGCTCAAAGTGAACCAGTCCCAACTGCAATGTTGTCATTCCTCAGCCACGTCATTATAGGTTGGAACAAAAAACCTCTGTTTATACGATATAACTAATCTTAGTGTTTAATATGGACATTTTAGATGACTCTCAGAACAATATGATGTCCAATCACAAGACGGGCTCAGGTGTTGATTTCAATAAAAGCAATTTTTGAATTCTCTTTTTACACATCGAAGGACGGCCTACAACTAATCATCACAAAACACGTCACTAATTAAAGTAGCACTCAGGTTGAAATCATGAGGTCTCAGCTCGTTTTTACATCATCCAAGTTAAAGTCAACTTTCTCGTCAAGTTAGAATTATGTATAGGACATAGACGGGGTTGAAATGCCAGTTCTCTCTGATTCCTGGTGGAAACATATGAGTACACACATCAAATAACTTATTGAACCCAAACTTGTCAGAAGTACTCGATACATACGCGGGTGATCAGAACTACCTAAAACCAGTGAAACCATCTTTGAGAAAAAGGAATCCACCAAAATGCTGTTCACGCGTTACCACATCTCCAGTTACACTGCATCAGTACAAATACACGAATGTATTCCTGTTGGAAGTTCAACATATTTGTGTAAGCAGCGACACATAGCATCACACCCAGTTACTGATGTATACAAAAGCTAATGTGATTCCGAAGTGAAGGTCACGTAAGGACCACGTTAACATCAATCAAACACCGTGACAAGAACCAGAAAAACCTGACGGGATCAGAGTCAAAGCACAGGTGATTATTTACACTTACTTAGCACTTTTATTCTGGGGACATTATAATTATATGCACGGTAAGATAAGTTAATTAACTGCTTATGTCAGAGTTTGTGTTCCTTCTCTGGGAGCATTTTGAGATGAGTTCAATTGAGTTTTCATGTTTTTGTGTGCACAACAGGAAAGGTCGGAACAGTGCAGTCCTTAGCAAAATAAAATAATTTGTCTTTATTTTAACTGCAATAAGACCAGACAACAGTTTGTCTTTCCCCGGTCTGATAATTAACTCACACACAGTTGATTCGAGGGTTTTATTATTTCCATGTTATGTTTTCTTTCCTTTTGTTCTTCATTAATCATTAAGATGAATCTCGTCAGTGCAGCACATCTGAATATAGGTCTCTCATAGGTCTCCTTCAAAAAAAACATTTCCTCCTAAAATACATGCAGCAATTATTCATATTCTATTTTCATCTCTGCTCTTCTCTATCTATCTATCTATCTATCTATCTATCTATCTATCTATCTATCTATCTATCTGTCTGTCTGTCTATTTATCTGTCT